AGGAACAAAAAATGATCGAAAAAAATATAAAAAGCGAAAGAAGGTACTAACCTTCTAGCGCACAAGAGTGAATGTTGATAGCAGAGAATGATGATGGAAGCTATAAGCAATATTAACGATGTTGTAGGGGAATGTTTGAAGAAAAGAAACGATTGAAAATAAATGTGAGTCGCGGATTCAATGATGAATCGTATATGTATGTGATAATTTGAATATGATTTTTTGGTATTAATGATTTCCTAATAAAAAAGATTTTATATTACTGGTTTACTAATATAAACGGATTTATATTAATGGTTGGTATTAAGACCTTGATTGAAATGATTTGTTAGTAATATATTTTTAAAATTGATCATATTAAAATCTTCATAACTGAAAATTCAAGATGTAAAATATGGAAAGCTTTTATTGGAATTAAATACATTCAATTTCAACGAATGTAAGTTATTGATTGATGATTGGAAAGCATTTATTGGAATTAAATACATTCCATATGGGGAAGATGATGTCAACAATTTGATCTAAGGGTGGAAAAAATAAGATTGAAATACAATCAATGGTCCAGATTATTTAAGATGATGTCATAAAGTTTCTCTTTTAGTAATATTTAAGATTAACAATTTTAGAATTTTGATTTCTTTTCCTACTATTTTTACTAAATGTTACAAATCCAACTTAAGAGTCTCTTTCTATAAGGGTACATTTGGTATATTAGTAAATTGAAGTTTTGTTTTAAATAAATAAGTATAAGAAAACAATTAGCATTTAATTTTGTGTGAAAATTTGGTAAATTTCCTGTATAAATTTTGAATTTTTCGTAGGAATCAAGTAAAAAATCAAGATTTAATATTGCATCAAAATCAAAATTTAAACAATAAATAGACTCGTGTGACCTCATCGTCGCCCCAACTTCATCAGTTAAACTATAACCCATCAGTATCGCCAATTCATAAAAAAATCACTCCACAAGGTCGCCACCGTCCACCATTTTTTCTTCATAACCTTTTCAAGGGCGTTTGATCTCCTTCCCCATATCTTTCTTCCCTAAGCTCTATTTACATAGCAACGCCAACGATGATGAGATCGCTGACACCCAAAATGTAGAAATCAAATATGAGATTTGGTCACGACAAGCCAAATATAAGTGATAATCAGACGCGTGAATGTCAGGCTGGAAGAGTGAAACTGGGATACACATACGTTTTTATGGTTATAGTCTGGAAATATAATTTGAAATATATTATGGATTATGCCTTTTTATTTACAAGTTAAATCTTTAAAATTAAAGTTTTAACCATGAGAAACGGAAAATAGCTATATAACATCAAATTGGTTTCTTAAAAAAGTTTATGTTTTTATTTCAATCTATAAATTTTGCGATTAAATAAAAATTCACTTTTTTCAAAAATAGAAATTAGTTAACATATTATTTAGTTGTCTGTAATCGATTTTAATAAATTTAATTTTTTTAGGTTGGATGCGTTTTCTATGTTGGAACTAAAAACATTATTAGGTACTTTTTTATTAAACCATGTAAATACGACATGGGTATAAAAACAAATTTTCTCATGTACAAAATATAAATATTAATATAAAAAATTTATATGATTCATGAATAACATGTTGTACGGCAAAAAAAGGTACAATTAATTACTTATAATTAATTATATATTAATAATAGATACTTCATGAGCCTTAATGATGATTTGCTGTGATATATGTTTTTAAAATGTTGCGATAAATCAAAATAGATATATTTTCGTTATGAATTGTTGTAAACCCAATATAATATTCGAAACCCAATGGGAAAACCCGAATCCCGATTGGACGTCCCGATAAGATACCCGAAAAATATCGGGATGGGTTTGAAAAACCTTACCCTGCCCCGAACCCGTCCCGTTACCATTCCTATATAAATTATTAATGACCACTATCATGCCTTTCCTAAAATGCCTGCCACCAAACTCCAATGAACACAAAACTCCAACAAATACAAAATATTTGTATATTTTTTCCATCTCATCCCTCTAGTTCCTCCACTAACATCGACACCACCATTCCCCATCTTGATACCCAGGCCCGTCCTAGAGGGTGGACGATAGGAGCGACCATCCAGACCCATCTTTTAAAGGGATCCAAATTTTTTTATGGAAATTATTATATTTAGAAAATAGTACAAATAATTTCCTTTTAATTATTGATTTATTATAAAAAAACTTGATAACATTTGTGTTTTTTAAATGCCCATTTTTTTCTCTCGCTTTGAACCTAAAATATGTTTGAAACGGCTTTGTTGATACCCTTTCTTCATATCGATGGTGAAGTGAAGTACAATATGATTTAGGGAAGGTCATAAATAGAGACCAAGGTTTAAAAAGGGATCAAGAAAGAGGTGAAACATTATATTTTTATCTTATTTTAAAAATAAACAAAATAATAATATAAGACACAAAGAAAAAAAAGGTATAGTAGTGTTTTTGGATGGTTAGTGACGGAACCCAAAAAAATCATACCACAAAGTACGAGTGCACAACTTAATTTCTAAATATCATATTTACCTTTATTAACTTCACTAATTTTTTCTATTTATTAAATGAGAGAATTTTATAGATACCCTTATTAAACATCAAAATATTATATTTGCACAACTTAATTTCTAAATATCATATTTACCCTTTATAAAAAATTTAAAATATCGTATATGCTTTTCTTTAACATCAAAACATCATATATGTCATTCCTAAATACCAAAATACCATACATATCCTTCTTAAATATAAAAAATATTCATAATAATATCTAAAATATCCTTTATGAAAATATTCACTAACAAAAACTAAACAATCAATTTATGCATTCCATAGAGATGGTTGAAGACGAATTTTTTTGTTTGTTAAGAGAATGACATTTAAACAATTTAAAAATACATGTTCTATTATTATTATAAATGATAATATGGTTAAAAATTTTAATTATTATATATATATATATATATATATATATATATATATATATATATATATATATATATATATATATTAAAGTTATGAAAAAATTTAACGGTAAACTACTTTTTTTTTTGTTAATTTTGGTCCTTGGTTGAATTAAATTCTTTGAATTAGTGTTACCACATTGATCCTTCACCTTTATGCCTTTGTTCACAAATAATCATTTCACTTTCGTTTGAATTTTTCATAACTCTCCCATTTTATTACATATTATTACTATTTACTCATATTAATATTTTTTTGGCAGAAATGGTCCCTCAACTATATTTTAGTCATTTTAAAGTTGCTTCATTTTTGTCTTTTTTTGGTCCCTCTACTTCCATTGGTTATTTGTGGCATCGTAAGTTCCTATGTTTTCGTTTAATTGTCACTTTATTAGTTGGTATTATTATTATTATTATTAATATTATTGTTGTTGTTGTTAGAAAAAATTACACGATTGGTCCCTGTGGTTTACCAGATTTAAGACATTGAGGACGACGAAGGAAAATGAAATTACTCTTTTACTCCTAATCCGATTGTTTTTATTAATTTATATTTCTCTTTTTGGTTTTAAAATAATGTTTTAGTTTATTAGAAAATGCTCACCCACTACCATAAAGCCACCCACCATTTGCCATCACCAATTACATAAATGGTCCATATGGTTTATCCGTGGTCACAAATTCAGTCCCTACTACCTGAAAAGACTAAATCACCCTCACATTAACGGACAAAAACCAACGGTCTATATTTTCCAAATTGGTTTTCCGGTCGCTGCCATACATGACAATAAAGTTCAATTTGTGAGACCAATTATTTATTTTTCTCATTTATTGCAGGAAATAATGATTTAAATTTCCTTACTTATGTAATTAGATGATATTGTTTATCTTCCTTTATTAGATTATCTCAATGCAATTCAACATGCTATTTTACTTTACAAAGCAATACATTTCGACCATGGCAACGCCAGGGAATCCTTTGTAGTTATAAAATATAAAAATGATTATTAACTATTAAAAATTATAAAGAAAATTTATATAAATATGATATTACAGGTTTATAGAAATGAATATGATATTAAAAAATTAAGAATGAGATATTTTGTTTTTTAACAAAAAAAAAAAAAAAAAAAAAAAAAATCATATTTGATTTATAATTATTTTAGTTTCTAATTTCTTATCATCATCGTCATCAGTATCCTGGTGCGCCGCTTTCTTTCGAAGACTCAACTCTCAACTATCAAGCTCAAGACGGACGAAATGAAGCCATTGTCGCAGGACGCCGATACAGTAACTATTTCTCAGTTCTGACTCTCTCTCTCTCTCTGTCCGGCCTTCTTCTTCAAGCTCAAGCGGCTGCCGGCCGGCCTCCTTCTTCAAGGTCAAGGCGATGCCGGTCTCAGCCTCTCCGGTAAGCTATTTCAGACTTCTCAATGTGTTTCAGATTTCTGATTTGATTTCTGTTTAATTTCTGTTCCAGATGGTAGTGATTTCTGTTTCAGATTTTTTTCAAGCAATTAGAAGTTAATTACTGATTTCAGAATCATAATACGAAAACCAAATCAAACAATACTCTCTCCATTCCATACCATACTACTGAAAAATTCGCTCAGGATCCAAAAACTTGTAAATGAATCTCCCGATCAGCATATAAGAAGCCCCAAAATCAAACCCAACATGTATTAGAAACAATTATTCAAATCATGTATCGTAAAAAGTATTACTTATTAGAAACAATTTATAAAAGATCTAAAATTTCTAGGGACAATTAATGTTATCACCAAACACTATTGGTTTCAAAATTGAATTACTTGACGTACTTTGCTATTTCTAGGGTTCCATGCATTTTATTGATATGATTATCAGGGCATACAAATAAAACTGTTATGTACCTGAATGTTTCCTGAAATTCTGTTGCATTGATTCTTGAATATTGTTACATGTATCTTACTTATTATAATAAACAGAGTTAGGTCTATGTAAAACAATGAAGATACAAAGTGGGAAAATGGTGATGAATATCTATCTGCAGAAACAAAAATTCCCAACTTCTTTGATGCGTTTCCCTTTATGGAATCTTCATCTTCTCCAAAGATTCTCCCTTTGGTCAATGAAAAAAGATCCAGATCTTGAAGCAGCCTTAACAAGAAACCATAGATGGATCATAAACAACCAGATTAAAAACATAATCTTGCGATGTCCAGATCATGTAGCATCAGTTAATTACCTCCAAAAAAAGTTCAAAACTCTTGATCTTCAAGGAAAAGCCATGAATTGGCTTAAGAAATACCCCTGTTGCTTTGAAGTGTTCTTAGAAAACGATGAATACCATTGTCAACTTACTAAAAAGATGCTTTCTTTAGTACAAGAAGAAGAATCCATAAAAGATATGCAAGAATCTGTAGTCGTTGAAAGATTAGCAAAGTTGTTAATGATGATTTGTAATCATAAACTCAGTGTCTCAAAGTTAAACGAGTTCAAAAGAAATTTAGGGTTACCAGATGATTATCTAATAAGAATCATACCAAAACATCTTGATATGTTTCGTGTAGTTAATTATAGTGGAAGAAAAACTTCCATGGAAATCGAACTCATGAAATGGAATCCAGAGTTGGCTGTTTCCGTTGTTGAGAAAACAGCTCAAGAAAATGGTCGGAATCCGTCATTCCAATGTTCATTACCTTTATCTTGGGTGAAATCATGGGAAAGATTTAATGAATTCAATTCCTCTCCTTACATTTCACCTTATGTGAATGATAGAGAGTTGGAAAAGGACAAGAGAAGAATTGGTGTGATTCATGAGTTTTTGTCACTTACATTATGGAAGAAAGCATCGATTATGAAATTGGGTCATTTGAAGAGGGAGTTGTGTTTACCTGAGAAGTTGAATGTTTTGCTTTTAAAGCATCCGGGAATATTCTATGTTTCGAATAAGTATCAAATTTATACGGTTGTGCTTAGAGAAGGGTATAAAGGGTCAGAACTTGTCCACAAAGATCCACTTGTTGTTGTGAAGGATAAATTTGGGGAATTGATGCAAGAGGGAGTTCATGAGTATAATAGGAGACACCATTTGTTGAATTTAGAAAAAAAGAGAAAGAAAGGAATGGATATGATGGAAACAAAAGTAGGGAAGAAGAAGAAGGACTCTGTTGATGCTCATGAACTTTCTGATGAAGATGGTGATCTTGGTGGCATCTTTGATCCTGAGGAAAGGAAACGTTTTTATAAAGTTCTGTTTGAAGACAAGGGTCCATGATTTTCTATATGAAGATATGTTGTCAATGCTCATATATAAAATTTTGTATGTAAAGGTATGTGAAGGTATCTTATTTGAATTGAATTGTTACAGTAGAGTTAGTTTTTTGAGGTACCAAAGTCCTTTTTACTATATAGAAAAAAGTTCCACTCCTTAGTTTTAAGTTTCACTAAATAACATGTGCAAAATCCGCACTTTAAGTAGCTTACAAAAAAAATTCCACTCCATAATTTGAAATTTCACTAAGTAACATGTATCATATAAATAGTATATTAAATATCCAAATGGTATAGTTTGTTTAATGAAATTTCAAATCTTAGATTATTTAGAGAAAACAATTAATATGACTACATGGTATTGCGTGATATGGAGGGGATTCTTACGTGAGCCGATGTAGTGGACTTTCCTATGCGTGAACACCGGTCCAAGGAGCCGTAATCGTGTTGTGGTTTGGCTAGCTTCACAAACGTTCATGGAGAATATGATTGGTTGACTCAAAATGGACCCTTGCTATATACATGTTGATATATTGAAAAAAATTATTTAATTGTTATGTTTAAACCATATCACATTTCACATATAAATACCAACTATTTTATATACATTTCACACTATAAACACGGCAGTTTCTTTCTATATCTTTATATTTTCTTTAAATTATTGATCCAAATCAAAATATTCCAACCATTCCAAACATTCTGAATGATCTATATTCACATGTTGGTATTTTAGGTGTAAATGTTAACATTCCTAGTTCAACAACTTCTATTCAACAACCATCTATACCACCAAACTACTTCCAACAACCTATACCACAACAATTCAAGCTTTTCAATTATAACATTCTCAGTCTCAACAATTTCAAGTACAACCATCTCAACCCCAAACTCAAGTCATATTTTCTCAATTCCAACCTACAAACCTTGACAATGACAACGGCGAAAGGATCCAAGAAACTCAACCAACACCTAGTAGAAGACAAAACAAAGGACATGGTAAAAAAAATACTCGGGGTTGGACCAGAAAAGAGGAGGTGGCGTTAGAGAAAGTTTGGATTTTCATATCAGAAGTAAGCTTGAAGAAAACTTGGATTTTCACCTTCGGTTATATTTGATTGCTCTAACTCCAACATGATGGATTTGAAGTCTAAATCCAGTATGAGAAGCCAAAGATCTACTATCCTTCCGACTTCTACCCTCTACCTGATCAATTAACAAAAACATTACATTAATACTCAACACAACAATATAAACCTGAAACAATCTAACTAGTTGCAGATAGTTGCTACACACCTTCATAGAAAAATGATAAGGGAACAATATACTGATTTGAGGTTATTGTGTGAAAGAAACATAAATTGATCCAAAATGAATGAAATATGTGTTGGTTTTCATAAATGAATGAAAATACGATGGCATCACCATGCATTTATATCCCCCTACCCCTCATTGTACATGTTTTTTGAGGTTATCGAATGACATATTTATTTAAAGGCAAAAACTATTTTCATACATTCCTTTTCTACCACCATTCAACCATACCAAACGTGGCATAAATTTCTATTATCATTAAACACATTGCAGAAACAAGGATCCAAAAGCAAACTAAGTGGTTATTTGATAGTTGCTAACTGGGTGAGAGTTGACTAAGTTAGAAGCCTTCTGCGTTAGAGGTTCTGACTGAGTTAACTTCTGACTCAAGCTTGTTATTTGATTTTGCAGTTGACTGATAATGCAAAATGACTATATTACCCTCAAACAATATTTTTGATAATAATTTCTTCATGATTTACCGTTTAATTTATAACATTACATTTTTTTAAATAAAAACATTCAATCTCTCATGTTAAAACAAACAAAACTTGATTATAATCTCTCCACTAAATATAAAACTTATAAAAGCAAAATAGTGCAAAGTATTCTTCACCAAACAATAAAAAAGAAATCAATGACATGGGTTTTTGAAAATTATAATGTAATAATAGAAAAACATATTCAAAAATGACACAAAAAACAAGGATTTCATTAATTATGAAAAGCAAGTCCCATATACAATTAATCTCAAGCCTATGCAATTGTTGTTCCATCAACCTTGCAACTTGGTTGCGGGGGCTTTGAATTTGATCTTTAATCTCCCGGCAAAAACAAAGAAACACACAAAAATCAATTACATATTTTAGAAAAAGAACACTGAAATCATTATGCTTATGTGCAACTAAAGAACAAGTAGGAAACCTGATGGAAGTAGACTTCTCAAACAGGTGCACATGATTTATTACGTATCTCTTCATTGTTGTCATTAATATAACCTTATATGGATCATCTTTTTCCTAATAACTCTATATAAATAGGCATTTCTTCTTTATCTATACCATGATACCCTTAAGGATAATGTTCCAGAACTTCTTTCAGCTCATTGAACTCAAAATCCTGAAAGATATTGTCAATACCAAATGCTTTTCTCCATTAAAGCATGTTAGCCCACATATGTTTTGATTTTTCAATATCAAAGTTCTTTGTTTTTAAGAACATATATATAAAAGATTTTATCAATCTTACACATTCGATAAGTCCATAGAGATTTGGATTTAATAATATTAGAACACATAAATCAACTATAGACAAATAATCTTTACAAGTTACAACCTCTCTCTCTCTCTCTCTCTCTATATATATATATATATATATATATATATATATACACACACACACATGTATAGCCTGATATTAAATTGGAAAGGATACCACTTTCAAAGCACAAATTTATAGCAAATCTATTTTCATAAAATAAGATTCATCAAAATAGAAAAAACGAAATCCCCTAATTGCATTTGGATGTAGCCTAGTTTTGATATCAATACTGCTCTAGCAGTTGAATTTGAATCACGTTTGATCAAATCCAAACATAATCCGAATTCTTTGACTTAAATGATGACTTATGATCGAATTAATCACCAACCCTTCATGATTTCAAGCATTAAGAAAATTGATTTCAAGCACAAATTTTCTTAATGAGAAGATTTGTACCGAAGAAGATACAGCAAGAGGAATAAACGCATTGAGAGGAATAGATGAAAATTAATGAGGAGAGGTGGAGAATAAGCTTGTTAGAAAGGGGGAAGAGGCGGGAACACAAGGGAAAAAGAGGGAAAATAAGAGTTATGTCTCGTTCAACTATATATTTTTATAGGACCTTGTTAGCCATTTATTAGCCTTCTACTGACCGAGTAAGAGCAAAGACCTTGGTATCAAACAGCCTAACTCGGACCAAGTCAGATAAAAGTTATGACCGGATTAGGTCACAGAGAAATCAAACAGCCCCAATCATCTGAGGATAGCATTCGATTTCTCCAGGAACTCAAACTTTCGGGATTCTGCCCTCCACTTGATCTAATAACAAAAAAACATTATAACCAAAAGTAATCAACTAGCACATCACTTTTACGTCCCTTCATAAAATTCATAGGGTACAAGAGACTCATTTTAGCTTAAAGAAGAATAGAAGCGTTGATTGTGTGAGAGAAACAAGAGGGATAAAAAGATGTTAGATTCACTACTAGTCCAACCATGTTCTAACATTGAAGAACAATGAGGTTTCATTTTTTAAAATCAATTAGTGATTTTATTAAGCTAATTCCAAAGAAGATTCATCAAAATAGAAAAAAACGAAATCCCCTAATTGCATTTGGATGTAGCCTAGTTTTGATATCAATACTGCTCTAGCAGTTGAATTTGAATCATGTTTGATCAAATCTTGATCAATTTTTATACCTGGAAAAATTCCATTTGGATGTAATTATTCTTTTATTATGTTGGTTACAGACTTTCGTCATATCAGTCTAATTGGTGCTCAGTATAAAATTATAACCAAATTTTTGGCTTTGCGGATTGCGACAGTTATGGATTCAATTATTAGTAGAGAACAAACGACGTTTGTTAAAGGTCGTCAAATAATTGATGGCCCCCTTATGGTCAATGAAATTATAGATTGGCATAAGAGATTCAAGAAGAAACTTTTGATCTTTAAAATTGATTTTGAGAAAGCTTATGACTCGGTCAATTGGGATTATTTGTTACAAATTATGGTTTTTCTCGGGTTTGGTTCCAAATGGATCTCGTGGGTTTGTGGTTGTCTTCTCTCGAGCAAGGCTTCGGTCCTTGTAAATGGGAGCCCGTCAGAAGAATCTTTTATTCAGAGAGGCATTCGTCAAGGTGATCCTTTATCTCTGTTTTTGTTCCTTCTTATAATGGAGGGTCTTCATGTTGCTATTACAGATGCTATGGAGGCTGGTGTTTTTCGAGGTATAAAAATTGGATCTTTGACGCTTTCTCACTTTCTTTATGCGGATGATGCATTGCTTATGGGAGAGTGGTCTAGAGAGAATGTTATCTGCTTGGTTCGTTTATTTGATTGTTTTTTCTATGCTTCGGGTCTTAGAATAAATCTTCATAAATCTAATCTTTTTGGTATAGGGGTCGATTTTGGCGAGGTTATGTCGGTTGCTACCATGACTGGTTGTAGACCTGTTAAACTTTCTTTTTCTTACCTGGGTTTACCCGTGGGTGTTAGTATGGCTTTGATTAGAGGTTGGAAGCCAATAATTGACAAGTTTTAGAAAAAACTATCAAATTGGAAGGAAAATATGTTATCTATCGGTGGTAGATCAGTTTTGATTACTTCTGTTCTGGGTTCGTTAGGGAACTACTATATGTCCCTTTTTTTGATGCCGGTGCAGGTTAGGAAATATTTGGAATCCATGCGTGCTAAATTTTTTTGGGGATGTGATGGGAGTTCTAAAAAACTTTCTTGGGTTAATTAGAATTTTGGTGTTGGCTTCCAAGGAGAAAGGAGGTCTCGGTTTTGGTAGTCTTGAGGCTATTAATCTTGCTTTGATCCAAAAATGGCGTTGGAAGTTTGTTAAAGAAAAAAAATTCTTTATGGGTTAAGGTGATCTCAGCTCTGTATGATTATCTGATTGGTGTTTGTTGTAGTAGTTATAGAGTTACGACTTTGGGGGTTTGGTCTCGTATTATTGGTTCCATTAATACCATGCATGAAAGGGGTATAATTCATTTTTCGTGTATCAAGATGATGGTAGGGAATGGAAGAACCACTCGATTTTGGTTAGATACTTGGATAGGTAATATTCCTTTAAAAGATCGTTTTTCACGTTTGTTTTATCTAGAGCAAAATCGTAATTGTTCTATAGCGGAGAGATGGGAAGATGGTTGGTATTGGCTTTGGAATTGTAATTTTGAAACTGGAGCTTTACAAAGTCAATTTGAAGACTTATTATTGTTGATTCGATCCTTTCAACCGAACCTAGAGGAAGACGATTGGTGTTGGGAATTGAATGGTGCTCTCAATTTCAATGTGAATGAAGTTAGAAAGCATATTGATAATGAGTGCTTACCAGATGGTACTCTTGTGACTAGGTGGAATCACTTCGTTCCTAGAAAGGTAAACATATTTATTTGGAGATTGTTAATTGATCGTTTACCTACCAGGTGGAATCTTAGCATCAAAGGTTTGGATATCCCTTCATTGCTTTGTCATTTATGTGATAAACAGGTGGAAAATGCATATCATGTTTTCTTTTTATGCGAAGAAGTTTATGTTATCTGGCAAAGGGTGTTTAGATGGGTAGATTTGGTGCTTCCGAGTGTGGATATACTACATGATCTATTTTTTTGGTTGGATACGGTTTCGATCTCGGGTAATAAAAAGACGATTTTGGAGACTATTATTCAAACGACATTATGGGTGATTTGGAGATATCGTAATGGTATCATTTTCGGAGATTCTAATCCGATTAAAAACCGGATTTTTGAAGATATAGTTGATTTTTCTTATAATTGGTTTAGTTCTAGAAATTTTAAAACTAAAACTAATTGGGTTGATTGGCTTAAAACTCCAATTCTATCTATTTCTTTGTAATTTCTAGCTTCTTGCTAGTTTCGTTTTATAATATTTGGCTGTTCAAAAAAAAAAAAAAAAATCAATTGGTGATAGAAGGGATTACCCATTGCCTTATATGCTAGCATCTAGTTTCTCTTTTTACTGATGATTGAGTTTGCACCCCAACAATCTTACTCTTAAACCCAAGTTGCACCCTTGGCCTTCTTTCAATGACTGTTCATCATATCCGATCCTTTTTCATACCGATGATGCTCTTGGGACACGCTCACCCGACGTGGGTTATCATGAAGACTTTCGATACAAGGCTTCAGGATCAATTTCGTTGGACTAGAAATTACTGGGGATTGCACCACCTGCGCCGACCACATGATACGGGCTACGACCATAGCTCTGATACCATTTGTTAGGATCGCTACTAACCCAACCATGCTCAACAAAGAAAAACAATGATGTTCCATTTCTAAAATTAGTTGGTGATATAAATGATTACCCATTGCCTTATATGCTAGCATCTAGTTTGTCTTTTTACTGATATGAGATTGTGTTTTCACCCCAAGAAAAAAAAAATAACATTGATTGATTGTGGTTTTAAGAACAAAGATCTATATGTGTTTTTTTATTTTTTTATTCTGACAATATTGTATTGCTTTTGATTGACCGTCGTTATAAGAGTAAGAGTACTAAGGAATGACAATATTGTTTGCACCTCCCCCCATAAGTCTATACGCTATATTATAGTTTCATTAATATAATAATTTACCTTATATATTAGTTATAATAGATATGTATTATTATGTATATTTACTACTAATTTTATCTGTATATATTAATTATAATAGATAATAGATATTATTATGTGTATTACTATTAATATTATTTTAAAATTCAAGATTTTTTGAAGAGCCTAAATATGCAAAAGTAAAAAGACATAAATAATAATGTAATTTCATATAATTTTGATCAAACCCTTAAAAAGGTTTCAAACCTTAAAATTAGATAAAATTGCAAAAATGCTCCATGTGATAACCTTAAAATTAGATAAAATTGCAAAAATGCTCCATGTGATATCTCATTTTATGTGGTTAAGGTTCCAACCTTTGAAAAATTATAGATTTAATCGTTTTCAACATGTTTTGTTATGATTTTGGTCGTTCTTTCGTTAACTTTAACAACTCGGTTGTTAATTTTTTTAAAATGACTATTTCACTATAAGGATCATTTCTACTACCAAACTACAAAGACCATTTCTACATATCTTATTTTTATTTTTATTGAATTATTATATATTAATAAGCGTTATTTTTAATATATACTATTTATATATTAATAAATATTGTTTTATTATATTATTATTCTTTTAAATATTTTTCTTAATTTCCTTTTCATCGGATATTTTAATTGGATAATTATAAATGAATAAATATCATTTTTAATATATAATATTTATATATTAATAGATATTATTATATTAGATTATTAATTTATTTTAGTTAATTTTGTTTATTGGAGTGATTCTTCTTCTTTATTGGATTATTAAATATTAATAAATATTATTTTTAATTTATAATATTTATATCCTAATAAATATTACATAATCACAATATTAATTTCTTTTAGTTAAATTTTTAACTTCTTTTTTTGGATTAATTCCTTTCTATTGGAATATTACTTTTAATTTATTATTTTTTTATATAATAAATATTATTTATTGTATTATTCATTTATTTTTGTTGTATAATATTAATCTTATTTTATTTTATTAGTTCCACCACAAAGTTGTCGGAATACGCAAAAGTGCCGCTTCTAATCAACGAAAATCGTCAGGATCACCGCCAAACACCTTCATCGGAGGTCCGACGTAAACCCTACTAACTTTTTCCACCCAACATCACCGGTAACCACTTGCAACAACCTCGTCACAATTCGCTAGAATCCTCCATACCCTGCACAATGCACAACGAACTCATATAAACATTAAAAATGGTGGTGGTGATCGGGTGATGGTAGTGGTGTTATCGCAGGTGACTACTGTCATCATTGTTTGGAAAAGGTTGGTGGGGTTCTCTCCGACCTCCGATGAAGATGTTTTATGGTAATCCCGACGCTTTTCGATGATGAGAGGCAACGCTAGCTTTTGCGTATTCTAGTGATTTTGTGGTGAAACTACTAAAATTAAAAAGAATGAATAGTATACAATAAAAATAAACTAATAATCCGACAAAATAGCATTTATTATATAAAGAAAATAATAAATTAAAAGTAATAATCGAATAAAAATAATTTATTCCAAAAAAAAAATTAAAAAACTTAATAATTGAAATTAATAATCCAATAATATAATATTTATTAGGATATCAATATTATATATTATACTATATATTAAAATTATCCACCTATGTACTTTTGTTGCGGATTTGTCAAAAATGTTCCTTCAAGTATACGTTTTGTTGCAGTAATGTTCATCACCATAATTCACCCTTTTCTTTTTAGGAAATACAGTAATTTTTTATTTTTATTCATTTATTATTTTTTAAAAGTCTGGATTAGTTTTGTGAATATCTGCTGTATGTACACGTGCTTGCTTCTGCTTTGCCTCAACGTTTTTTTACCCAATCAAATTCCGATATGTTTAATGCCTCTTCACCTTATACGCCTACGTTGATCAGTACTTCCAATTTCTTCCTTCCACCGCCTTATCCAAACGTTCTCTTCTCTTTCTTCCTTCCACCGCTTTTCATCCAAACTTTTTTTTCTCTTTCTTTTGTAAGAAGTCGACAGGAAGAGACAGTAGATCGATCCGGATGGGTTTTTCTATTTGATTAGGGTTCCGTGGGAAACAGAGCCGAGTCCATACTTCTCAGGTGGCTGGATCCTTCTCTACAGTTCCTTCGTGTATACTCCTGATGAAAACAATCTAAGCCGTGAGAAACGACATGGGTTCACCAGTAGAAATCGGGGGTCGTCGGTGGCACGTGGAGGCTGAGATAGGAAGCGACATGCGTTTTCAGGCGATGGTATTGGCCGTCATCGGCCAACATCGAAGCAATTGAACCCTATATGCTACCGACGCAAATCGATATCTTCCACCTGCACCGTCTTCTTATGTAAACTCCACCAGTCGATCTTCCTTTGCTCTCCACCATCATTACTGTCTAGCAGCACTTCAATTAACAACTTCTAACCAGGTAAGGAGTTCACTTTTTTCACTTCTATTCATAAATTTAATATTTTTCTTGAAAAGTCGGCCACCTTCGTCATGTTAACACTCTTAGTTGTAGGTCCACCTGCAGACTGACCTTGCTTCTTCAACTTTCAATTTTCGTGGTCAGGTGCGGAAGCACGATTGTACCGCTACTACAGTCACATGGGTAAATAACTCCAAAAACAACATGAATAACACCACACCCACAGGTATGTAATTTCTAAATTGGAGTTTTGAGCTTAAAGAATTTACATTCCTTGCTATGACCTCTTATATTTGCATCAAACTACAAAGCATATTCAACTCCAGGCCTTGCTCTCTCTTTGTGTTTCAACGCTTTTTTGGTTAATATTATTAAATCTTTGTTCATCAGTAGTTTTAATCTTTTTGAAGTGCATAAAAAAAAAAGATTTCAGGTCTTCTGTTATGGGTTGTCTGCTAAGATATTTCTGTTCTTGGAATCAAGAAAAGAAGGTATTTCGTTCAGGTAACTTTAATTCTTTTATCATCTTTTATATACTTTTGAATCTCAATTAAATTTTTTAGATGTGATTATAGACATGGAGTTCGTTGCTACATTCCAATGAGTCTGAAAGCTTTGACATGGATCTTCTGTTGACAACAGTATGAGGAATTCACAACTACTTCATCACTAAAGGGAAATAGGTGAGTTACCACTTTTAATGCATTTTGTTGGATGTCGCTTTCTACAATTTATATGATCTGTTCAACCATGAGTTTATGTTTGTGCTTGTGATACTATTGATTTGAGTTTTCTTGTGAGCAGAACTACATTTTTTTTTCTATTTTTTTCTTTTCAACACAGGATTATTTGACTTGATTTCGAGCTATAGTGTTCAAATATTTGAGAATTCATCATGCCCACCAAGTGTTTGATGTAAGTCCCGAACCAACAGTACCACTTCTGTAATCAATTTCTTAAAACTAAATTGATTGTTTCTCACCAGCAATTCAGTGATTTCGTTGCTTTAAATCCAAGATATGAGTGGAGAGGTAAAGTTCTAATTGGTGAATAAAGACATTACATTAATATGAACATATTTGTTAAAGTAAATAGTTGATGGTTAATAAACAATTAATAACTTCATATTGTAAGCGTTTGATTCCTTTAAGATTGTTATGGAGATGAAGAAAAAGGTTTTTGTTTTCTCACCAGTAAGTGGACTTCTCCTTCGTTGCATTCCTTTTATTAACATTATTCATACTTTTCTATTCCTTTTTTTGTAATTTAATTCATGAATCATGAGAATATATTCTTAAATTTTGTGTTTGATAATATGGTCGTTTATCATTTCATGTTGACTTGGTCAAATTCTTTCTTATGTTTTTATATGAAGGTCTGTATACTTCATGAATCATTTATATGCAAGTTATAGATAAGCAAATTTATTTATAGAATATGCATTTTGGTTGTGTCAATTTTAATGTTTAAGCTATGCTTCTTATATCATCCTTAATCGCAAGTAATATGATAATTTTGATGACGCTTTCCTATTGCAATTCCCTTGGTAGATTAAATAGAGAGACAAATATATACATAATCTGGGAAAAGTAGATGAGTATGTATAATCAAGTTTCCAGAAAGCATTTTCCATCCTTAAAACTTATCCACATGATAGGTAATTTGTTGAGACATGAGAATACTATCATGGCTTTTGACTATAATGTGATTCATGTATTTTACTACTATCTTATTATATGTTAATTATATTAAATTCTCCCATCTCTTTATTTCTAGTACTCTTTTAACAAATGCTTATAACAAGACGTAAAAGAAAAACTTTTCTGATGGTTTTGACATTTATGCTTTTTGTGGATTTCATGAAGGAACAAATCCATTTAGCCACATTCAGCTCCGAAGGTAATCATTGATTTTATCAATTGTTAAGGGCAATTCTGTCATTTTCACATTCGGTTTGTTTATATTTTTTACTTGAACGACTGCTTTCATATGTGGGAGGGAACCAAAGTTTGAGCTCAATATTTGAAGAAAAGAACTAACCGAGTCAACTCAGTTGGGACGATTTCTTTGCTAGGAGTCGATCTGCAATCAACAGCAAGAGTAAATTATATTTTCGATATATTTTTTCATGGTTTATTCATTTTGTAAATTTTTCAAGGAATTTGTGATTTTATAAGAATGCCTTTCTTTGTAAAAAATTGTTTATAAAGCTAAATAAGTTTTAAGAAATTTCTTGTGCAACTTATAATAGCTACTTTATCTATGTTTTGTAACATTGCATCACTAACATTAATCCTTCTTACCCATGCGAAGCATGGGCAACCTTGCTAGTTAAAAATAATATTTTTAATATATAATAATCTAATAAAAAAGAATTATTCCAATAAAAAAATTAACTAAAATAAATTAGTAATCCAAAAAAATAATATTTATTACTATATAGATATTATACATTAAAAATCATATTTATTCATATATAGTAATCCAATAAAAAAATCGAATAACAAAGAAATTAAAAAAGTTAAATTAAAAGAAATTAATGATCTTATAAAATAATATTTATTAGTATATAAATTTTATATATTAAAAATAATATTTATTAATATATAATAATTCAAGAAAATTTAAAAGAAGATATGTAGAAATAGTCATTGTAGTTTCGTTGTAGAAATGGTCTCTTGGGTAAAACAATCATTTTAAAAAAGTTTATAATCAAGCCGTTAAAATTAACGGAAGAAGGACCAAAACCACAATAAAACATATTGAAAATGTCCAAATCTGCAAAATTTCAAAGGTTTTTATATTAGCCACGTAAAATGAGAAACCACATAGACCATTTTTACATGTTTGTCTTAAAATTATAATGATAATAGTTTTTATTAAATCCTCAAAAGGTTTCAAACATTAAAATTATAACGATAATAATGATTATATATATATATATATATATATATATATATATATATATATATATATATATATATATATATATATATATATATATATATAAAAGTTCAGTTGTTCGATATTTATAGTGAACTATTAAAATTAGAATGATAGTAATGATTATAAATTCATATTTTACATAATAATGTATACTATCTAAGATATGTTAAACCGTAATGATTTAAAAAAAATAACATTGATATTTTCTACATTGTTTTTATCGTATGATTTGTTATAGTATGTTTTTATGTATGTTTTTTTGTTTGAATGTCAATAGTCGCTTATCTTTATTTATATTCGTTTAGGGTCTTTTTATGTTCGTTTATTTTTTTTCATTTATATTCGTTTAAATCTCTTCATTTATGTTCAATATATTCATTTTTTTTTATGTTCATTTAGCACCTTAATAAACGAATATAAATAAAGTAATTTCTTAAATGAACGAACATATCAAAAAAATTCGTTTATTTATGCGCCCATGTTCGTTCATTTAAAGTAATTTCTTTAACAAGTGTTGTTCCTGTTCGTTCAGTTCTTTTACAGTTTCAGGAGTATACACACACACACACACACACACACACACAGAGGAACGATGCTTGTTCATTAGGAATGGCAATGAGGCGGGTTCGGGGCGGGGTATGGATTCCCAAACCCGTCCCGATAACTTTCGGGTATCTTATTGGGGCGCCCCATTGGGTTTCGGGTTTCGGGTATCTTATCGGGTTTACAACAACTGATAACGAAATCTTTATTCTCTTTTAGGGTACCCCAATGTCTTATAAAATATACATGTTCTAGCAACTCTTTTAAATTAAAAACATGATGCATCACTTTAATAAAATAAACTGGACGTTATATAAAAAATTATTTGATTTAAGTTTTGTTTAATACGTCAAAACACATAAAAATGATCATTAACACCAGATTGTTAATAACTAAAAAAATTGTCCACGATAAGTATTTTATATTTGAACGTGTACAATTAACAGCAAAATTTTTTGAACATATTATATATATATATATATATATATATATATATATATATATATATATATATATATATATATATATATATATATATAATCGGGGCGGGCGGGTCGGGACGAGGATAACCCACTCCCTGCCCCGAACCCGATAAAAAACCCGATAACGACCCGTTACCCGACCCGAAATGATCGGGTTTCGGGTTTCCCCGTTGAGTTCGGGTTTTTTTTTGCCATCCCTATGTTCGTGTTCATTTATATTCTTTTCTTTTTAAAGATAGGCAAGTACCATCCTATTCTATTTTTTTACCAATTAGTTTTAATATAGTTTATTTTTTAAAAAGTTTTAGATATAATATATTTTATATTATAAAGTTAGATGTTTATATCTATCTTATTTTTTTTTTACAAATCATAGAAATCATTACAGTTTAATATATCGTAATATATAATATATTTACGAAATTTCATTCCATAAATTACTATGTAAAATATGAATTTATAATAATTATTATCGTTCTAATTTCAATAGGTCACTATGCATTTTGAATGATCAGACCTATATAATCATGACAAAAACTGCCAAAATGGTTCTAAGAGGGACCAAAACCATAACGAAAGATGTTCAAAATGATAATTTATCCAAATTTATCAATGTTTGGACCAAAACCCTAAAAAATTACAACCACAGGGACCATTTTCATAGTTTTGTCTGTAATCATTATTATATTTATAATTTTAAGACATAACTACAAAAATAGTCTCTGTGGTATGTGTTTTTTTTCCAGAAAAAAAGTCCAAACCCTTAAAAATTTTGATTAATGGTTCTTTTGAGCATCTTTCATTTTGTATTTGGTTATTTGGAAAACTGAAAATACTAAATTGCCCTCATATTTTTTATGTTTTTTCTATCTAATTTAAAGTTTTATTAAATTCAAATATGAGATCCATACACACTCACACACTGTTTCTCCCTCTCACACACACATCCTATAAAGACAATGATACCGATCGTCCAACATCTTCTTTATTTGGTACCCTTATACTATTGGAAGTTGGTGTTAGCCATTATATAGGTTCAGTATGTTGGTAGCTTTTTCTCCCTCTTTCCATCTAACTTTCATTTGGAATCTAGATGAGTTTTCTTTCTTGCGTTGATTTCTTCGATGTGTTAATTAGGTTTATTGTAACTATAAACTATTTTATAATCTATGAATCTTTTGAGTTCTAAATATGATTTTTTCAGCATTTGGATCCAATTGTACATGAATAAGTAATAGAATTTATTGTTGAAGTGACAAGGGTAGAATGGGTCAAAATGAGTCCTATCTGAAAACTGTCACAAGATAGTTGCAAACTGTCATAAAATTGCAAAAACCTGTCATAAAACGGGTCTTAGGAAATGGATCAAAATGAGTCCATTTTCTGAAAATCAGATTTTTGATACATTATATAGGTTCAGTATGTTGGTAGCTTTTTCTCCCTCTTTCCATCTAACTTTCATTTGGAATCTAGATGAGTTTTCTTTCTTGCGTTGATTTCTTCGATGTGTTAATTAGGTTTATTGTAACTATAAACTATTTTATAATCTATGAATCTTTTGAGTTCTAAATATGATTTTTTCAGCATTTGGATCCAATTGTACATGAATAAGTAATAGAATTTATTGTTGAAGTGACAAGGGTAGAATGGGTCAAAATGAGTCCTATCTGAAAACTGTCACAAGATAGTTGCAAACTGTCATAAAATTGCAAAAACCTGTCATAAAACGGGTCTTACGAAATGGATCAAAATGAGTCCATTTTCTGAAAATCAGATTTTTGATACATTTTCTTTTAATATTGCAACATAACCCAAAAAAAATCGGATTTTCGACCCCATCCATGAATTGCCCCCCCTTGGAGCTCGTTCCCAAGGACGCTGCCCGCGAACCCTTGTTTGTTCAGTGCTGCACCACTAAATAACAATGTACTTTAAATCTTGAAAACTTAAATAAGTATGCACTCTGAACAATTCTAACTTGTTCAATATTTATCAAGATCACTTTTGATCAACAAATTTAATCCTATTACACTTAACTAATATTTATGATATCAAATCACCAACAGAAGATGTGTTTGAACTTTGTGTTCGAGTTTACTTATATATGTAACCCCATGAAGACTCTGAAATGGGTACTTGTTGATCGAGTATGCAATATAAAATTTTGACTTTGAGATATGTTACTTGAAAAATAATATCATATTCCTTCAGAAAACATTCTAACTTTGATTTTCCATTTCATTCTTTTTAATGATCCGTACTTCCCCATGTGTATGAAGAAATATCTAAAAGAGATGGCTCAATGATGTAATGATGTAGCTCTAGTTCTAAAGTTCTTTATATTGAGTATACCTATTTGAGGAATCTTAAGTGTTGGGTTTGAGTTGCAAGTTTTAGAATAGAGGAAGGAGATGTGGAGTTGAAGGTTTCGCACATAGTCACCAACACACATGAACACAAATGTACAAACCCAAGGTTGATTTTTGGAAGAAATCAATTTGGGTTTGTTCTTTATACACATAAACACACCATATTCATATTTAGAAGGGAAATATGTATAAAAGTCCTTATTTTTGGCTTTGATAAATAAGTCATATTTGTTGAAACATGCTATTACTTGCAATTGAGCTTAATTTTTAGGTTACTGCAAACAATAACATGTTTCGATTGTTAACTTGTAAAAAACATATTGATGGTGATTTTCTTGTCGATAGGCCAAAATATATGTATTTTTTTTCAATGCATAATAATTTGTAATCTCAAGTTTTATCTATTTTAAGATTAAGAGGGTGTTTGAGATTTCATTTTGAACATCGAAACAACTTATTGACTTATGGTGGTGAGAAAAAAAGGATTTTTTTTTAAAATAATAATAGTGTCCACTATAGAATAATAATAATAATAATAATAATAATAATAATAAAATTTAAGATGTGATTGGCAAAATGGTTATTTAACATTGTCATAAGAGATGAACTTGGACGACATTAACCTTAGGGATCAAAACCAAAGATATACTAAGACCACGAAAAATCAACACAAATCTTATTTGGAGCATATCTATAGAAACACAATAAAAGTGGGACCAAATTTGTAATATTATCTTAAAAGTTACTAAGAAATCAACCTACCAATTTTTCTTTCAAAATGCGTGGTTGACAAAACTTATTTAAAATGTTGTATAAATACAAAAATAAACAAAACGTTTACTATTATATTAAAAAAAATCGACCATAATATTATTTATAGTCTAGAAAGTTCTGTCTAAACAGCACAAAAGCAAATGGCTAGCTGCTTGACATTATTTATAATCTATAAAGTCATAAATATGTCATCAATAAAACAGTAATATTGATATAATATCTATAATAATACGATTCTAAAAAGGTTATTTATTAATAATTAATATTGATATAATATTTACAATAATACGATTCTAAAAAGGTTATTTATTTATGCATATACTTACTCAATCTGTTACTCCCTACATAATGCCATATATAATGAAGGTGCCTCAATACGAATGTGATAGACTCATCACTAGTCAATGGCACACATGAAAACCTCGTTTATCTTGCTGGTTTTTGGTCTTGTTACAATAGATGCATTTCCAATTACAAAACCAGAAAACAAGGTTTGTATAGTAAGATGGACCATGTATATCATCGATGGGATAGGTTCTCCTATCGATGTTCATATACAATCAAGTGATGATGATCTTGGAGTTCGCACACTTGCACCCGGATCAAATTTTAACTGGACTTTCTGTGTTAATTGGAATTCATCTACTTTGTTCTATGCTCATTTCTACTGGAATTCTAAAGAAATGTTTTTTAATGTTTTTAGTATGTCGATTAGTAAAAGCTATTGTAGGAATGGTAAGTTTTTTAAACCACAACAATGTTTTTGGTTAGTTAGAGAAGATGGGTTTTATTTGTCTCAGCTAAATAATCCATTTCCACAAGGATGGACAAAGGTACATGATTGGTCTTCTTGACTAATTTATTTTTTGGTTGATGTATTCAAATATTTAATAAATAAATAAAATTAGTTTCATATAATTCTATGTTTCTAGTTATTGAATGCATGAGTGACAATCTTATCCTAAGACGATACTATATACAATGAGAATACAAACTTCCTTTGTGAGGTTCGTAGCTACATATCCTTGGATCATGTGAGGTATTTCTTGTGATTCATTGGAATAAGTCGTAATCGGATTCGTTAAATAACCAATTCATTGTTTATGTATTCAACATGCTTTCAGTGATCCATAGATATTACACGGTATCAAATGGTATAAAACGAGTATGCATAGGATGTGGATGAGTCATTTACATCAATGCTTTGAAAATTGGTTTTGTGGTTGAACTAAATGACGATCGGTTTTCGGTTTAACACATTTAATTGTTCAACCGTCGGGTTAACCTATTTCTATAATTTTCCTATTTTTCCTATTTTCCAACACATAAACCATCAATTCAAAATTCAAACATTAAAAATACTTATAAACCAACGTGTAGATCAATCCAAATACATTAAAAGCACATAATCATAAGTTTTACATCATCAATTCACATATATCAAAAAGAAAATAAAATATAATACCGAAACAAAATGATGAATACAAACGTATCAAAAAAATTTATAATATATACAACATGTTTTTATTTAGAGAAATCTAAACAAATATGAAAAAGACCACCAAATTTGTAATGTAAAACACTTCAATTTTATTTTTTTATTCAATTTAAACGGTTTATTTGAGTTTTTATAAAATCTGGCTGGTTCTTTCTGGTTCGGAAATAGATATAAAATAGATGTTAATTCAACCGTTCTCTTCCCTAGTTTTCAGTCCAACCGGTTCGACGGGCCGATTCAAATGAGTCTTTAAAACATTGATTTACATCTATATGACTTGGTACAACTTGTTTCATCGACTACAGAATTTTTTGTGTTAATTTTTTTTTCCCCTTTTGCATTGGACTGTTATATATCACTACTAGAAACTTGACCTTTAGCAACAAATTCAGCTATGGATTCTATCCGTAGCTAATCAACGACGACTTACCAAGGGATCAACGATGGAATGCACGAAAATGTTGACTAACATACTTTAGAGAGGCACTAACGAGGGATCATCGACTGACTGCTAATAATATCTAGACAAAAACATTTCATCGTTAATCCGTCTCAGATTAAAACCTCGCAGAAAATTGACGCCTCGTTTTTTCATTCCCCACTTTTCTTCTTTTCTGGTTCCTTGGTTTATTTTCATTCCAACATATATCTTTCCCAAAGCCCTAATTGGCCTTATGTCGACTCAAATCCCTCTCACATCCTCTTTGGCTTCCCTATCGATTCGTCTCCATTCCTCATTGACTCATCGTTTCCCTGCCAGTGTCGTTCAATCCTCTATTGTCTCTTCAGAGCTCTTAGTATAACTGCTCAACAATCTCCAATCGAAGAGGAAGGAGAGTTAACTCTCAAATCCGTTCGAGTCACGTTTCCGATCATGGCAACTAGGAAAAATCTGACCACAACTAATCACCTCCGTCATTTGGAGTCAATGGCGACTCACCCGTCGGGTGCCGGCAAGATACGAAAGCTAAATGTCGTGATACTCGGTGAGTCTCTTGCATCCGAGGAGGCCGATCTCGTATTTCCCGGTCACGATTTCTCCCAACAGGCATACGTACCCTCTCCTCAAAAGGTATCATCCTCAAAATTGATCAATAGCAGATCATCTACATATATTGTTTCATTTCATCGGAAAAATAGAGTCGATGTCGAGTCAAATACATAAGTTCTTGCTAAAGGCGATACTCTAGTTTTGATTATTGAGAAAGGATTGATGGCTACATATACATATAGATCTGTTATTTCAATGAGGATATATTTTGACCTAACAAGAACAAAGAGGACAAAATTCCTATTTTAATTTGAAGTCTTCTACTTTGGATTTTCAAAATACGAAGTGAAATTTAATCACAAGAAGGAAAATGACCTATTCGTTGTTCTTTTTAATAAACATTTTCATCATATAATCGATGATTTGGGGCACCATTTCAGTACTTGGAGTTGGAGATATACAACAGATCAATTGAAGATCCGGGTGGCTTTTGGTATGATATGGCGCATCAGAATTCTATTGGAAAGAGAAATGGGGTCAATAGGTTTACTCAGAGAATCTTGATGTTACAAATGGGAACATCAAAATTGAGGTAAACAATACTTTTATCTTTCTGACATCTGCCTCTTTCATCTTGTATCACAGACCTAATCAGCCATTGGCCATTCCTATCTATCTACTCGGTGGTTCAAGGGTGGCATCACCAACATCTGTTATAATTGCTTGGATAAAAACATAGAGTCTGGGAATTGCGATAAAATTGTAGATGTTTAGGGCTAATTGCAAACATGGCCCTTCTCAGGCAGATGTTTGGGGAATTGAAGAAAACCCTAGTTATGGCCCTTCTCAGGAAGATGTTTGGGGCTAGTACCGAGAAGGTCTTTTTAAAATTCCATCTCTTCTCTCTTTTGTTTAATTTTATGTCCCTCTAATCGGATGATGAAACTGTCTGTTCTTCCTGAATTTGGTTAATTTACAGGTGAAAGTGGAGAAAAAATCCTGGAAAGTTGATGTAAGTATCTCCCTTCTGAATTATTTGTTATTCCTGATTATGCAGAGGTAGCTAACAAGATTGAAACATGGCTCGTTTGCAGGCTGGAAGTAGAACTGTTGGTTTGGAACTGACGACTCTTTCAAGCACCCACCAGTGGAGCTGAACCTAAGTGATGCTGGGTTCCAGGATCGGTACATTGTTCAAGAAATCATTACAGAAATGGCAAAGAACAGACCAATTAACGTTAAAGGAAAGAAGGGTTTCAAAGGTTTGCAAACAAGTATTCTTATATATATATATATATATATATATATATATATATATATATATATATATATATATCTGTGTGTGTGTGTGTGACATCCGTCCTACCAATGTGCTCATGGTGTTTTATATATGCTGTATCGGTATTAGTACTCAATGAGATTGATAAACTTTCAAGAGAAGCACAACACTCTCTAAGAAGAACATTTGAAAACTTCAGAGAAACTTAAACAAGCTAGTGAAACAGATCATCGTGCTGAAGTTAGTGTAAGTAATTGATTCCTTCTCAATTCTCATACACAAACACATCAAAAAAGATTTACACTCCTTTAATGGTGATTGATTTTTGTTTTTTTTTGGAATGCAGACTAGCAAAAAGATTATAGATGCTAAACTTGCAAAAGATTTTCAAGCAGTTCTAAAAGAATTTCATAAAGCTCGATGCCTTTCAGCTGAAAGAGAGACAACTTACACTCCTTTTGTTCCTCAAACTATTCTTCCTTCAAGGTAAATGTCCAATTCACATATGGAACTAAATTGAATTAACTTTGTGAATTAACAGATTGTTATGGTTGTATTTGTAGTTATGCAGCCAATGAAATCGATATATGCTCAGACAAAAACTCATAACAACGTGCACTTCTTGTGGAATCGAGAAGGTGAGGTGTTGTTGTTCTTCCGTTTTTACCTTTTTATGGCCATGTCATCATTATTTTTATAAGTTCTTTCTTTGTGTTGTGTAGACAGGAGGTTTTGTTATTGGACAATGAGATTGCGTTTAATGAGGCGATTATTGAGGAAAGAGAAATACAGAATCAAATTGGGGAAGTAAATGAGATTTTTAAAGATCTTGCTGTTTTGGTTCATGAACAAGGAGCCATGATTGGTAAGTAGCTTGAAAGTACAATGTTGAAATGAAAAAAAAAACATAAGTGCAATGCTATATTAAGGAAAGTAAATTACATGATGTTTGTTTTTTCAGATGATATCGGGTCAAACATTGAGAATTCTCATGCTGCAACTGCACAAGCAAGAATCCAGCTTTCAGAAAGTATATTTATTGGTTAGTTTATGTTATTTGTTATTGTGTTGATGAGCGTTTTAATTTTAAATATTTGTCGTATGATCCTATGCTGTGACAGCTCATCAAAGGTTACTGAAGTTGTTCGTTCTCGTTGTCTTAATGTGCAAATAAGTGCACCAAAAGAAGACCAGATCAGTATTTGCAGTTTCAATTTTAGTAGGGATGAATAACTGATGATTATACATAGGAATATTAATAGGGATTTATGCCGAACTTTGTTTTTTTATTCAGATTGTTAGGGTTCTGGAATTTATTGGCAAAAAGGAGTTTCAGGAGGGCTATATTGTCATTTGAGAGATTTCGTGTCCAGCAGTTAAGATCAGTCTTTCACTTTTTCTTGTGGTTTCTTGTGTCCAGCAGTTATGATCAGTTAAGACCTTCTCAGTGGTCCATAATGGTCTATACAAATGCTCAAAGATCAAATCCCAAAAGAGAAATTTCTGAAGACTAATATGCAAACATGGTATTTTCTTTCACCAACATGTTTTTTTTTATATATTTTTTGGTTGAAATCGGAATTCAATTCCATTCTATTCTTGTATTTAGTTTAGCTTCAAATGAGTAGACCATAATGTCCTTCATAAAGAGAAAATCATGTTTCCAACAAATACCATGTCTTATTCCATTGCAGAAAAAGTAAGTAGAACTTGGTTCGCTTAATTTCATGGGGTTTAACTGGAATCGGAATCCAATTCCATTATGGTCCATTCGGATGCAATGTAAGATATGAAGCAATGGGGAATATGTATGTGGAAACTCAAAATATGAGACAAAATTGAGATTATGGTACATTATACTTAGAAATAAAAATCAATAATTAAACTTTGATATTTGATGATTTTGATCATTTTGGTAAACATTGATATTTGATGTTTTTGGATGTTTTGTTAAATTTTGATATTTGATTTTAGTATTTTAATATTAGTGTTTGGTTTTGGAGTGTATAGTTATATGATTCCCTTGGTATTAATTTGTTATTGTTTAATTTGAGATTGTATAATTTTTTGATGTTTTTAGTATTTTTTTGTTTTAGATTTGTAATAAAAAAAATTAATATTATATATTTGCAAGGGATCAGCTACGGAAACAAAAAAAAAATCACATCTAAAATTTGCTAATGATTAGCGACGGACATATGAAAAGACATATAAAGAGGTTTGCAAGGGATTAGCGACGAAATATTTTTGTTGTTGATGTCCTGAATAAAGGTAGTAATGGACCAATTTGCGATGGATATTCCGTTGCTAAAGTCGTCGCAAGGAAAAACAAGTCTGTCGCTAAATCTCTAGCTAAGTCATTAGCCACGTTATATTTGGCTATGTAGTAAGTCTGTCACAGATCTGTCGCAAAAGACCTTTAGTGACGAAATAGCAACGGATTTATCTGTCGCAAAAACCCTTGTTTCTAGTAGTGTGTGTGTGTGTATATATATATATATATATATATATATATATATATATATATATATATATATATATATATATATATATTTGGTTAGGTTCATGTGAGACGACTTAATTTTGTGAGATCGTGAGACGTATTTTTTTATTTCTTTTTATTTTTTTTAGTAAATTCAAGTTCCGAAAATAATATTTAAAAAAAGAATTTTTGGATTTTTCCATTTATTTTGCATTTTAAAATTATTTTTTAGAATATGTACAGTGTAATATTCTATTAGAATATTTCACGTATTTTTTAAAAAAAAAACAAGATTTTTATTTTATTTAGTTAATTCAAGTTCCGAAAATAATATTTAAAAAAAGAATTTTTAAAATTTTCCATTTATTCTGCATTTTAAAATTATTTTTTAGATTATGTTAATGTAATATTCTATTAGAATATTTCACGTATATTAAAAAAAATGGGATTTTTTTTAGTTAATTCAAGTTCCGAAAATAATATTTAAAAAAAGAAATTTTGGATTTTTTCATTTATTTTCTATTTTAAAACTATTTTTAGATTTAAACTCACGGTCTTACAAAATTAGAATGGTTTCAAATGAACCTATATATATATATATATATATATATATATATATATATATATATATATATATATATATATATATATATATATATATATATATATATAGAGAGAGAGAGAGAGAGAGAGAACCAATTTCATTTTATAGAACTATAGAACCATATATTTATAACCATAAGAGCATAGTATATATGGATGGATTAGATTAAAAACAATGCACATTAAAAGTGTAGACCCTTGTGTATAGAATTAAATGCAATGAAGGTATAACGTTCTTTCAAATACGTCAAACTTTCAAACACCTAAATAAAAGGAAACTTGAAGGAAATAAATTAGGGTGGATAAATTTAATGTTTACCCCATATAAGTAAAAGAAGGTAAAACAAAGAAAACACTATGTGCGTCTGTAGTGTTCATGCCATCAAAAGGAAAACGGAGCCGAATCTGGCCTCCTCGCCGACGATCATTGCCTCCTACTAATGCATTCTGTTTAAATCATAGCCACCGTTATTTGTGTATATATGATGGACACTGATTGCATCCCTCCAACATCCATCAGCTCTGGGTCAGTATTAGCCTTCCAAAGTCGGTTTGAGATCTCGTCGTTTTCTGGTTCTTTCTTGCCTCCGCCAGCGACAACAGGGATGGATGGGTGAAGTAAGCAATTCATGTATCATTCATTCTTAAGATCTCATCTTCCATGGTTCGATTGTGGTGATGTGTGGGTTCTCGTTTTATGCCAAATCAACTTCCATTTAGGTAGTACCGTTTGTTTCCAGAAGGTATATAATATCTTTTAATCTATTTGTTAGAATTATATTCAAAGATTGGATTTTTTAGTTTACATGAGTTTGTGTTTGTGTTTGTTGGTACAATCAATGTGAATGATATTAGGAATGACACGAACGGAGGTATGGTGGACCTATGTACGCTTTTTTTCCTTTCGTTCTACAGTTTCATGTCATTTTGCTCCTTTCGTTCGATTTTTTGCTACTATGTTGCTATCTAGTCTGTTTTTTGTCTTGCCAACTTGCTGAATATAGTTGAAACTGATTTACCATCACAAACATCTTTTTTAACTTGTCATTATTTGGGTTACAGGTCCATGTGAATCTAAAAAGCTCGAAGTCATATTCTTTAAGATTTAAGATATGAAACCTCCACTATCATATTAATCAGACCATCATCAACAAATATGGAGTTATTTGGAGTTGTATTTTTTTTCCTCTTCTTATCCTAGACTTACAATCTTATGGATATATGTTCATTTATGAACATTTCGTAGCATGTTCATTTTAATCTACTTGTTTATTAATATATGTTCATTTATGAACAATTGTTAATATACATAGGTCAATCTGCTTGTTAATGTTCAATTTGAGAGAATAACTCATTTGTTCTTTCAAATTTTGGGTTTGCATAAATATTCAGTTATGTACTTATAGTAAATAACCAACTTATATGCATTCTAGACATAATGTTCGTTTATGAATATATATATATATATATATATATATATATATATATATATATATATATATATATATATATATATATATATATATATATATATGTTTTTGAAAATAATTACATTTATAAATATATGTTCATTTTTGAACATGTAATGTTCATCCATGGACATATGTTCATCTATTATTTTGTTAGTATTCAATAAATGCTATAATTTACATATATCATTAATAAACTATTTTTTTTAAATAAAATTGTTAATTTACCATCATACCATTTTGGTCATAAATTGATCTAATGGTAAAAAATTGTTCTATGGTTCTATGAATAAATTTGGTTCTGAACATATATATATATATATATATATATATATATATATATATATATATATATATATATATATATATATATATATATATATATATATATATATATATATATGTTCAGGTTCATTTGAGATCATTTTAATTTTGTGAGACCGTGAGATCAAATCTAAAAATAATTTTAAAATGCAAAATAAATAGAAAAATCCAAAAATTCTTTTTTTAAATATTATTTTCGGAACTTGAATTAACTAAAAAAAAATATAAAAAAATATAAAAAAATAAAAAAAATTCCATTTTTTTTGAAAAATACGTGAAATATTCTAAATAGAATATTACACTGGCGTATTCTAAAAAATAATTTTAAAATGCAAAATAAATAGAAAAATCTAAAAATTCTTTTTTTAAATATTATTTTCGGAACTTGAATTAACTAAAACAAATTTTAAAAAAATAAAAAAAAAATTCTATTTTTTTTAAAAATACGTGAAATATTCTAAATAGAATATTACACTGTACATATTCTAAAAATAATTTTAAAATGCAAAATAAATGGAAAAATCAAAAAAATTCTTTTTTTAAATATTATTTTCGGAACATGAATTAACTAAAAAAAAATAAAAAAAATTTAAAAAATAAAAAAATGTGTCTCACGGTCTCACAAAATATAGGTGGTCTCAAATGAACCTAACCCTATATATATATATATATATATATATATATATATATATATATATATACACACACACACACACAAAGAGAGAGAGAGAGAGAGAGAGAGAGAGAGCTAAAAGATTAAACGAGAATCTATGAAGGTTAAGAACCATAAGAACATCTAAGTTTTAACTTATCATTAAAGGTATTAATGGTGTATGGGTACCGACTCATACATAAAAGCAAGTTGACAAGACAAAAAATAGACTAGATAACGTCAGCAAAGCCTAAATACAAAAACAGGCCGATGTCTGGTTTAACCATGTCGGAGAATAATAAAATATAAAGGAAATCTTTGGTATGACAATATACTGGGGAACACGGAAAAGATAACATTATTTTATTGAAGGGTTCTACCCTTGTGACCTTTAGGCAAAAGCAATACCTCGACATGAAAGCGATAAGCCGTACCAACTCCCATCCATAAAAGCATCAAGTATTCAACGAACGGTAGCATCATTCTTTCTTTCTTAACAACCTCAATAAATATTTCTTGCAAACTCAATCAACATCTAACTTAGGCTATAAAGAGCAATACCTGGGTCCAACCCTTGATATGGATTTCTATCCTTGTTCTTGTTCGTGAATTCCTAAGTGCTTGTTAGAAGAGGTCTCCCAGAGGCCGTCTAGCAACGTATATGGGAAACCACGTAGCAATGTTGTCATCACCAATCTATAAAAAATGTAAGATAAAGCACAAGCCACACGTGTCATGGCAGACTCAAGCCTCAGTTATATTAACTAAATTCCAACGTTCACCTCACTTACCATAATCACGCCAAGTACAACACCACCAACGATTGTTTTATCCCGACAAACGGAATAGATGTTATTTCGAGCACATGTCTAAGAAGAAGGAGAGCCACAACGACAATTATCAGCAAAAGGAAAGAAAACAAGACAAGTAGGCTCGGTGACGATCGCATCAGATAGTAGTTCTAGCACTGGTAGACCAAACGTACCCAAGGAATAACGCGTTGATGGTGAAAGTCATATCCTCGTTATTGCAACAACATTTAACAACTACCACGTTGTTGGCACAACAAAATGCACCACCATACATTCTTTTTCCACCACCATTTCCATATACAGATTATCAAGCATATTTGCCCCCACAAACAAGCTTATACCATGCAATTATCATCGAAGATCAAGAAATGCCGCAAGTTCAATGTGTAACATCCATAAAATTCAAGCAAATTTAAAACTTTTTCAAACATTCAAAAACCAATATTTATTACAAAAAATTTTTCAAAATAGTTTCATATCAGAGTATCCCATAAACAAAGTTATAAAATGCGAGAATATGCACGATCACGCCTTCGCCTTCCCGCAATCATCCGAAGTACCTTAAACAAAATCCAAAACTGTAAGCTCGTAGCTTAGTGAGTTTCCCCAAAATACCAATACCATACAAATTATAGCCATATCATAACAAGCAAACAAACAACATGCATAATGAGCCATCAGCTTGACTGGACCGCCTCGCCGGGCCATCAGCCTATTTGGACCGTTCTCCGAGCCATCAGCACATCTGGACCTCCTCGCGGGTTTTCAGCCTATCCGGAATGCTCGTCGGGCCTCTGGCTTGACTAGTACGCCCTTACGAGTCTGCAGTCTATACGGTCCGCCCTGGGTATGTTGGCCTAGAGCACAAAGCAGAGACCGCCTCAATCCATCCCCAATCACATAATCAACACATAAATATCAAATGTTAGCATATACAACAGTCAGACCGATCTAACAGATCACTAATCATAGCATCATCCTATATACTAGGATACCGAACTAATAGGTCACTAACATAGCATCATCCTATATACAAGGATACCGA